CTAAAAAAGGTAGAAGGTTGAAACTTTAGGGGGTATGTTCCCTCTCCAAGTACAACTTAAGTATTTAAAATTCAGCCTTGAAGTACGCGTGGTTCTTAAGTACGGGCACTTAAAATTTTGAATAAATATCTGGCTGAGAAACTAGGTTACTTTTAAAGAACGATCGTTAAATGGAAATTGTACATCTGCTTTATGCAAAATTTATGATTTATGCAAGTGATCGCAAAAAGTAGGTGTAAAGCAACAACCATTCATGCAGTTAATGACCTGAGTACTTCAAATCCTGTGCAAAAACGTATGATCGCAGGGGCCCTCTCGGTGCGTTCCAGCCTGGGTTTGACAAACGACCGCTCGCGCAACACTTCCACTTTTTGATGAACTGGAAGTTTGCATTTTTTCAAAAAATTTGCATTTGTTATTTTTCCACAAAGCGAGCATTTACCGAAAAAAAACGACCGGACTTCATGGCAAAACGGCTGCTAAAACCGGTAAAGTCAATTTCCTATAGTAAAACAGCTACCACCTGAGCTTCCAAGGGCGAAAGTCCCCTCGTCCCCTCCCCCGGGATCCACCCCAGAACAGCCGCGAAATCGCCTTTCCAATCCAACTGCTATTCCGGAAAGTGGGCCTCGTGGCTGTTCCGAGGTGTGAATTATGCGGCTGTTTTTGGGAGGCGGGTGCCATGACTGTGCTAAGGCGCAAAACACTACGGTATCCCTCTCCTGGAACAATTGCAGAAGACGCCCCCCCACCCCCACCCTTCAAAATTTGCATATGCCAAGCACAAACGAGCACTGGAAAACACCGTCCTCCCCTCCCCTCCTCCTGCCCCCGAACACCGAGGACAACCACGGCCACCCACGAACCAAACAAACAAAGAAGTGAACAGGGCCTGGTGAAACAGAGCCGCACCGGCTCGCCTGGTGCGTTCCAGCCTAGGTAAATCTTGTACAATAAAATAATGTTGTTCCTTTCACTTGCCTGCAGTCATAACGACACTGCAA